GGGCCTCTTGGGGCCCCTTGGGACCTCTTGGAGGCCTCTGGGGAGCCTCTTGGGGCCTCTTGGCGGCCTTTTGGGGATGTCTGGACGCCTTTTTGGAGCATCTTGTGGCCTCCTGGGAGCCTCTAGGGGCGGACGGCTGGAATGTTCGTTTTTTAGTCCCCCTTTCGGGCCCCTCTTGGGGCCGTCTTGGAGCCCTTTCGGGTCGTTTTGGGCGCCTCTTGTGCCGTGTTGGGGGCTTCTTGGGAGCCTATGGGGCCGTCTTGGGACGGTCTTGGAGGCATCTTGGAAGGGCTTCCGCGCTGTGAGGCCTCCTGGGAGGCCTCTTGGAACGTCTTGGCGGCCTCTTGGGCCTCTTCGGCCCATGTTAGGCGTCTTGGAAAGATCTTTCGGCCCATGTTAGGCGTCTTGGAACGATCTTTCGGCGTCTCGGGGCCCTCTTGAACCGCCTTGGGGGCCTCTTGGGCGGCCCCAGAAGCTGTCGTGGACCTCCAAAAGGAGCCCGGGACGGGTCGGACCCCCCTCATGAGCTCGGGCCGGACGGCCCCCCCCTCCAAATCGACCAGACCGGGCTCCGGGGGGAGGGGGTGGGGAGGGGGAAGTTCTCTCACACGCCGATGATCCCCAAGGGGTCGGCGGATTAATGCGGCATGTTACGTTCAGCCTTGGGGTCCCCGAGGAAAAACATGGTGTTCCCCGCCCCCCCCCCCCCCGCGACGCCGTGGAGCCCCCGCAGACGGGCCCCCGCTGGGCCGCCCCCCCCCCAGCGCGTAGGACAAGGACAAGAATAATGGAGGATGGCGATTGATAAATGACCGGGGGTCGTGTTCACGCGGCGGCGCCCGGGATGACGATTAGAAGAAACCGGCCGCGGGCTGGAAAACTATTTTTGTATCGTTCTCATCCAGTCAGAAATTATGCAGAAATAGCAGAAAACTATGTATGTTAATCGTTCTCTCCCGTTTTTTCATTCATCGTCATCCCGCATGAAGAGCTGGGAGGAATCGACAACACCATCACGTGGCCGAGGCAGCCGGCGCGCTCCCGCGCGCGAAGATGAGATCCGCGCGAGCTGAAAAGCTCGCACTCCGACACACACACACACACACACAGGGAAGGGGCACCGCAGCTTGTTGAATGATCTTGGCTGTGCTGTGCAGATCTCTGGTTGCTGGCCAGCAGGACTACGAGGAGGAGGGCGAGCTCGAGGACGAGGCGCAGTACGAGGACGAGGAGCCGGTGCTGCCGTCGGAGGTGGGCGAAGAGGACGCGGAAGACCTGGAGGCTGCAACGGGGGAGAAGATCGGGGCGCACGTGATGGGGGTGAGCGCTCACGGGGGGCAGCCAACCTCCTCCGATTTCGTTCTGGTTGTCCCTGGTTTGGGACTCCGGCAACGACCGAGGACCGTCTCCTTCCCTCGCTCCACTGATCCCTCCTCCTTCCACTCATAGCTCATAATTTGTCGCACGCATCCCACCCTCTCAACAGGCTTGCAGGGGATGAGCCGCTCCTGTGCGCGCTCGCGATGCTCGTGTCCCAGCCCCCGCCCACACCCGTCTCGGCTGCGCACCAGGGCACGAGGTGGAGCACCCTCCTCGCCTCTACCCCCACGCCGCCCCAACTTCCATGGGGGAAGATGACGTGCGTCGCATCCGCAGAGACCTCGCTGTGCGACTATGGGTTTCGGGGTCACGCGCCGCGATTGAAGTCTCGTGCGTCGTCGCGCGATTGGGCAGAGGCCGCGCACGTCGCGCCGTGCGCGGTGGCGCAGATGCGCCACACCCGCAACGGCACGCGGTGTTTCGCGCTGGGGGGCCGGCACGCGGCGCAGAGCTGACTTCTCGCGCTCTTGGGCGGCGCTCTCGAGCGCGCGGGGGAGGATCCGCGCGCCGCGTCGGAGGCGGACGTGGACCGCAATGCGTGTTTTTTCGCGCGGGGGGCAGCTCCGCGAGGGAGGTTTGGCCTCGCTGCACGGCTGGGCGCGCGCGTTCTCGAGGGGGTCTCGCGATGATCCGTGCTCTGCTCCGCAAGTGAGATGCGGTGGGGGTGCTGGTCAAGGGCTGCGCCCAGGAGGCTGCAGACCCTGGAGGATTCCTTATCCGACGAGGGCGGCGGTAATGCCCATGGCCAAGCCTCGATGGGAGTCCCGCTGGCTTCCAGACCCTGGGTTCCTAATCTGAGGGTTCCTCATCCAATGTCCCCACCGTATCGCGCAGGCGGTGCGCGACTGACCTTAAGTCGAACGTGTCCCCCTACAGGGGGATTTTCGACGAAAAATAACAAAATACCCCCAAAGATAATCAAAAAATAGTCCAAGCATAGTCTGGGGATTATTTTTTGAGTACTTGTTTACCTTTTTGGGGTATTGTTGGGGGTATTTTTCATTTTTCGTCGAAAATCCCCCTGCAGGAGGACAGGCCCGACCTGAGACTGACCGCATGCCGCGCGCGCGCGTCGCGCCATGCGCAGTGGCGCAGCTGCGTCGCGTCATCGGCGCAAGCTTCGGAGCGCCGCTCTCTGCGCTGGCCTCGGCGCGCGGCGCCTGGCAGAGTCCCTGCGCGGCTGGGCGGCGCCTGCGCGCGCGGGGGACGACCCGCGCGCCGCGTCGGCAGCGGCCTCGCCGCGCAGCTCTCGCGCGCGGGTCGGCGCACGGCGCCAGGGCCGGCTCCTCGCGCGAGGGGGCAGTTCTGGACGCCCGAAGTGGGCACGGAAAGCATGGGTACGAGGCCCAACAGCAGTCCCTGTTCATTCTGAGCAGGGCTCGCTGTCCGCGCCGCCGCGGCCTGTGGCCGTTCGAGGCGGGGGGCCGCCTGCCCAACGGCGGCCGCTGTTGGTTTGGGACAGCAGTTGTTGTTGGGCACTGTGCCCATTTTTTCCGTACCCATTTCGGGCGTCCAAAGCAGTGCTCGAGCGCGCGAGGGGACTCGCGCGCCGCATCGGCAGCGGTCTCTGCACGCGGTTTTCGGAGCGGGCTGGGGGGTCCCAGGCGGCCAGGGGCCGGTTCCTGCCAGCACGAAGGGCGGCGAGGTTTGAGGTTCTGGGTTGGGGCTCTGGTTCGAGGGGTTAGGGGGCTTTTTTCGGCCGCCTGGGGCGGCGTTCGTGCTCCAGGATTGTCAAAAACTGGACCTTGGGTGGAAACCCACACCAAAGGAAATCCGAGAGGGGTCTGGGAACAGTGGTTGAGCGGATTTGGCTTCCCCCCCCCCTCTCTTAACCAATTTTCTCGGGGCCCAGCCCGCTCAGTCCCCCCAGAAACACCCTAACGGTAGCAACAGATGCGCACAGTTTAGTTCTAGTGCAGTGCTGTATAAGGAATGATTGCCGTCCAGACCACGTATGTAGCTGGAACATCCTACCTCCCCCCCGTCCCCTTTGTGGGACTCTTCTGCTGTCTGTCTTTATTGCTACGAGAACCCTCTAGCGGAACGCAACTGTGGAATGCCAATCCGCGTCCGAAGGCCCGCGGGGATTTCTCTCGGATCTGCGCTGGGCCCTTCGCGCTCGTATTCGTGAGGTCGGGCGGCCAACCTCGACGAAGACAAAGCTGCATCAACATACATTGTCGTAGCTTTAAGTCGGGCACGTCCCTCCACAGGAGGAATACTCAAACATAGTCAAAACATTGTCTTGGAACGACTTTGAACGCATTTTTTGACTATTTGACAAGCTTTTGGCATATTTTTGATCCGGCGCGGCCCCTGGAGGGCTCCGAGGTCCGGTGCCGATCCGAGAAAAATCCGAGCGGACTGGCGAGGCGCCACCAGGGGAGCTCAGCGCGAACCCAAGACATCCACGTGGATCTACGCAAGGGAATGTTTATAGGGCAGCGATACCGCTACCCTCGCCTCGGTTTCCCCCTTTTGGGCTTCCTGGGAGGCCCTCGCCGCCGCCGCCGCCGCAGGAGTCGCCTCGAAGCTTTGGTCAGAAGCCACCCAGGGAGGTCCGGGGAGTAGTTGTGAAAGGAACCCGTCTCAGACCCTCATCTCTACTCCTCACTCGCCTTTTTACCTGCCTTATCGGCTCAGGTACTGGAAGAGACCAGGACGCTGGTCGCACAGGAGGAAAAGATCCCTGTCTGTCCCTCCTTCCTCTGCCTACGGATCTCTACCTACGGATCAGGGGTTCTGTACCTTTGTACTCTCACCCCATACACAGTAGTGGTATCGGTACCTTCCTGTTTTCCCAGTTTTGTCTTTCTCGCAGTGGGCCGCCCGACCTCACGGGCACGAGCGCGGAGGGGAGGAGGAGGAGGAGGAGGAGGAGGAGGAGGAGGAGGAGGAGGAGGAGGAGGAGGAGGAGGAGGAGGAGGAGGAGGAGGAGGAGGGGGAGGAGGGGAGGAGGGGGAGGAGAGGAGGAGGAGGAGGAGGAGGAGGAGGAGGAGGAGTCGACTTCCATGCAGACCTCACTCATTTTCTCCAGCGATGGCAGCCCGCATGGCGCCGCGTGCCCCCCCCGCCGTGAGGCCGCCGCCGCCCCCGGCGCACCTCCCCCCCCGCACAGGGCGAGGACGAGGAGGACACCCTGCTGAGCGCCCCGGGGGCGAGGCAGCACGAGACCACCGACTGGGGCTGGCTCATCCTGCTAGTGGCCCAGATCGCGTGCGGCGCTTTCGTGTTCGTGAGGTCGAGCGGCCAACCGCTCGGACACGCGGCGGCCCGACTCCCCGGCAGCGTGGCCCCCCCGGGCCCCTCGGCCCGCTCCCTGGGGCCAGCGTCTCGTCCTGAGTGCTGGCTGGCGGTCCTGGGGCCGAACGCCGAAGATGGCGAAGCCCTCCAACGCGATGATTTCGATACGCTGGAGGTCAGAGTGCACACTGGCACTCCAGGCCTCCTCCTCCTCCTCCTCCTCCACCTCCAGGCTGGGGTCTTGTGGTCATCTTGGCCCAGGAAATGGAGGAGGAAGAAGCGGCGGCAGGAAGGGGAGGAGCAGAGGGAGCAGTCGCGGGATTAGGAGGAGTATGCGGTGGACGATGAGGATGCAAAAGAGGAGCAGCAGGGGGAGGCGCGAGATTTGGAGGATGGTGGGAACGACGTGGAAGAACCAGAGTCTGTCCCAGGGTCTGCGGTCTACAAACCGGATCCAGGACCCAGGATGGGGCTGGTCAGCTTTGGCGCCGTGTGCACCCAGCAGTCCCATGGCAGGTACACGCACCTGAGCGAATTGGACGCGCACCTTCGCAGGTTCTTCCCGACCCCGACCGACAGCAGGGGCGACCAGTGCTCCCATCCAGACAGGAAGCTGCTGTTCTTTTGCATGCTACCGGGTGAGCTCGACACGTATGGGGTGGCCACCGGACACCTGAACCTCAACTACAGGGTATGCAGGAGCGACTGCCCAACCAGCTCGACAACGCTTCACCCCTGCTATGACCCCGATCTGCAGTTCGAGCAGAACGTGCCAGACTACGCGACGTTCCCAAGTGGCAGGTACGGGCAGGCAAAGGTCGGGGAAGCGTAAGGCTCGAGTACGCCGGAACTCGGGTCTGCCGACGCTTTTTGAGGCACGCGTCCTGGACTTTGGCGGTCCAGTTTTCGTGTGATGTTTGCAGCGGGAGTTCGCGTCAAATCTCATATTGGGTCTCGCCAGCGTCATGCTGGCCCCGTACGGCCAACCCGAGTCCCCCGAACCCGAGTCTTACGTCTCCCCGAAAATGATGTCCGCACGGCGACGTTCTGCATGCCGAAGGACCCAGGCCTGCGTGCCGAGGCCCGGCGCATGATCGGGGCCACCAGCTGGAGCGGCGAGGCGATCCGCGTGATCCTGGCCCTGATCAAGGATGAGGGAGCAAGCACTGACATTCCCTAAGGGCTTGTCGACTTTTCGCCAATCGACTCGTGAGAATCGAGCCAGATAAACCCAGGTAAATGCAGATAAATCGAGGTAAATCCAGGTAAATCTAGATAAATCTGGGTAAATCCAGGTAAATCCAGAGATCTCCAGGGAAAGTTCGAGCACTTCGCGGCCGCTCCAGCGCGAGTCGAAGGACGGCAGAAGTCGTTAAGCCTTTAACGAGACATGCGCAGAACAACTCGGAGGTCCGCGCGGATTCCTCGGATCGGCGCTGGAGCCCCCGTGGCGGCGCCTCCGGCGCTACCGTACAGGAGGGGGGTCCAGCGCCGATCCGAGAAGTCCGCGCAGGCTTTCGAGTTCTTCTGCTCATGTCCTGTTTAGGTCTCCCGAAGGACTGGCGGGTCATGGTCATCACGTCGGTGTATGTCATTGTGTTGGGGTATGTGTTCCTGTTTTTCCTCGAGCACAAGGAGTGCGCAAAGTTCATAGTGCATGTGTTCATCGCCATCGAGGTCCTGATCCCCCTCTACTTTGCGTACCAGCTCGGGAAGGAGCTGATGCTGGGTACAGAAAGGCATGATGCCAAATACACCTCTGGAGATTATCAAAGCGATTACATAGCGCTTAGTGTCCATATTTCCCTTTCTTGTATCTTTATGATCGCAGGGACGATCCTATGCGGAGCGCTGGACACGTCAATTTCTTGCATCGAGGCGGCTGCAGAATGCATCTTCGAAGCACCGAGCCTACTCATCGAGCCGATTGTGGGAGTGCTCGGCAAGATGATCGTGTTAGCGTGGTCGTCCACTCTGTTCATCATGCTCATGTCCAATTCGGTCAGAGAAGTCGATGGCTTCATTGACCAGTTTGTTTTCACAACGGAGCAGATCATTGTTACCGTTTTCTGGGTGTTCCTATCGGTGTCTTTGCTTTGGACACTTCACCACGTATCGATGTATGTGTTGTCGTATTCGGCTCTCGTCTTAGAAGACCCTGGCCTGTTGATCAGGGTTCCGTCATGCCGCTTGTCTGGTCGATGCGTCGATCGTTTCGGATCGGGACGGTTGACCTGGCCTCGATCAGCATTGCGATCCGTGGTTTGAATTTGATTTTGTTGTCGGCATCGGGATCAGGCTCATACCGGGAAGTCATGCGGGGTGGCGATGCGGCAAAACCTCCCACCCCATTTGCTTAGGGCTTGTCTTGGTGGTGGCGAGGGGTTGCTGGTAAAAATTGGTCGAGGAAACTACGCGCTTACTTGCCATCCCCCACCGCTACATTGCAGACGGGTATATGATTGACTAATTTGAGGCTTCGCCGGTTGTCACGACGAGCCGATTCAAGAGCGTAACACAAGAACACGCTTGGAAACGATTTGCAACCGCGGTATGCAGGCGGATCAGCATGCTTGTCGTTGTCGCCGTCATTATTGTCGTCACCGTCGCCGCTGTCGCCGCCTTCCTCGTCATCGTCGTCGCCGTCGTCGTCGTCGCCGTCTGCGCCGTCGTCGCATATCCCGACGATGATGACGTGCTCGTCTTTCCATTCGGTTCTAGCCCATGCAAACCTGCATGCATAAAAGCAGGATAACTATTGCTGCCACGCAGTGCCGACAGAACCTGTCGTTCGCCAGTTCTCCAGCCTGCCGCCCTTCGCCACGTGCGTTAAGGCGATCATGCGAGGAGGCTTCTGCTCGCAGATGCCCCCGATGCCGACATTGCGGATGCTTGACATTGGGATGGTCTGTGATCGTTCGTGCGCTCTGTAAGGACCGCGGTCAATTGTGCGCGCCTGGGAGTGTCTGATGCAGTCTACACAGGCTCCGAGATGTACGCAACCGTTGTGGTGTACAGATTTTGTAGCGCACGCTAACGGGTTCACGCAGGCCGCTTGGTGCTAAGAAGCCCACTGCGGGCGCGTCAAATCCACAGCCGTCCACCTCCTTTAGGGGAACGAAGAATGGCATAAACATAAAAACTCGGAGGTTCGCGCGGATTTCTTGGATCCGAGAACTCCGCGCGGACCTTCGAGTTTTATGTTTATGTCATTCTTCGTTCCCCTAGCCTTGAATCGTCAACCCTCGCCGCTTCGAAATGTCCGCCTTCGCTCCGCCCCCCTTCCAGCCAGACGGCCTGGGGAGCAAGCCGGCTTGGCACCCCTCCGTTGGTGAAGCTCCCCGGCCCCTCACTGCTCATGGGGAGCGGCCAGACCGCCACCACTTGCTCACCGCCCCATTTGCACATTTGAGCTTGTTGTCTCGCGTTGCGCGGCTTGCGTCGGGGGTGTGCTCCTAAGGCGCAGATGTGGTACTACAGGAAAAAGGCGATAGACTCTGGCGATGATGCCCCAGTGCGCAGAGGAGCTCTTCTGAGTGCTTATTACAGTGCTGTGCGCTATCATCTGGGTAGCATCTCGTTGGGGTCAATATTGAGTATGGCGTTTGGTGTCCTTCGAGGGTGTATGCGTGTTGTCGAGGAAGGCCGCGATGATATTCCGTGCATAAGGTGCGTGCGAGCTCTCTGCGGGCCGTGCCTGAGTATCAGATGTTATGACCGTTTCTTGAAGTATACCGGCACGGAGGCGTACATGGATATGGCCATCCATTCGTACGGGTTTTGTGATTCAGCGCGTAGAGTCCACGACCTTTTCGCCACGAAGCAGATGGCAGGAGCTAGGGCCGCCAGGAACGACATGACAGGAGCTCTTCAGATGTTCAACTTTGTCGCGCTCGGTGGCTTCGTTTCTTCTACGATGATTGTCTCTTATTGGTTGTGTACGAGTGGATATTCATTCCTTCAGGTCAGCGATTGGAAGCCCATGGTTTGTTTCTCGGGCATCGTCAGCCTTATCGTCGGTGGGGACGGTAGGGAAGTATATTGGAGAGAGGGAGGCGGGGATGGGGAAGGGAGGTGATGTTGGAGGCAATGAGATACGGCCGTCATCTCATGTCCTACTCTTTTTCGCCTGACCTCGGGTCATCTCCTGCTCCCTCTCATATCCTACCCCCTCGTTTCCCACTCCTTCTCTCATCTCCCTCGCTCCTCCTCCTCCTCCTCCTCCTGCTCCTCTCCTGCTCCTCCTCCTCCTCCTCCTCCTCCTCCTCCTCCTCCCCCCCTCCTCCTCCCCCTCCCCCTCCCCCTCCCCCTCCCCCTCCTCCCTGGTTCCCTCTTCGTCCCACTCGCCCCTCATCTGTAGCATCCCTTGCCCTCCTCGCTCGCCCTTCCTCTATAGCATCCCTCGGCCTTGCCCCCTTCTCCCTCGTCCCCGTCCTCCTCCTTCCTCCCATCCGCCCCTCGCCTCCTCCGTTCCGTGTCCCATCTCCCGCCTCCTTCTCTTGGGCAAGCTGTTGGGCTTCGAGGGCCCGAAGCGTTCACTTGTTCGTTCCCTCTTCCTGTGGCTCTCCCCTTGCAGTTGGGGCCTTGGAGCGTTGTGGGCCTGGTGCCTTCTTTGGAGCGGTGTGGACTGCGCCCGAAGTGTCGATCTTCTTGCGTCGGCCTGTGGGCGGGGCGCCCTTTCCATTCGGCCCGCCGCCGCCGCCGAGTCGTTCGGCCCCCGCCTCGTCTTCCTGCGGGCGAGGGATTCCCCAAGCACCCGAGGGCCACGCTCCCAAAGGAAGGGTTTCGTGCGCTCGGGGGTCCGGGAGGATCCCCGGACCCATGGGGGGGAGCGCGTGGTCGAACGAGTCGCCCTGCCCCCCCGCCGCCGCTGCCGAGTCGTTTTCCGGCCCTGCTCGGCCCTGCTCGGCTAGAGGGTGACCCTTCCGATCTGGCCCCGGTGTGCTCGGCTGCAGCAGCTGTCCAAGGACTTCCCCCTTATTCTTTACGTTGCAGTTTCGGGGACCTGGTCCGTCCTATAAGGCGCGGCGTTTCCTGATCTGCGACGCGTGGTCGGTGCGAATTCGGCGTGCAGCCGGCGCGGATACGACGCGGGGACGTGAGTCCAACGTGGACCCAACGCGCTTCGAACGGATAGAATGCGGATCGCGGCGCGACTGGACAGACAAGATCACCCGAAGATGCAACACCTTTTTCCCAACCATCTTGTGGCGTTGGGTCTCCGTTTTGAAGAGAGCACCTCGCATTCCTTCCTTCCTCCCGCTGCCCCCTCCTCCCATGACCACCGTTTTTATTATGATCGTCACCATCATCATCATCATCATCAGCAGCAGCAGCAGCATCATCATCATCACCACCGTCATCGCCATCATCATCATCACCACCAGCAGCACCATCACTGTCATCACCACTGTCATCATCACCGTCATCATCATCATCATCATCATCATCATCATCATCATCATCATCATCATCATCATCATCATAGTCATCATCCTTACCATCATCATCAGCATCATCACCATAATCATTTTCATCATCATCATCATCATCATCATCATCATCATCATCATCATCATCATCCTCATCCTCATCCTCATCCTCATCATCATCATCATCATCATCATCATCATTGTCATCCTCGTCGTCGCCGTCATCGCCATCACCGTCGTTATTGTTTCGCGCCCCCCATGGGGAGCTCCACCGAAGGCCCCAGTGGCCGTGTTTGCACGCGTCTCCCCCACCCAGTACAGCGCTCCGTGGCCACATTGGGGAGCTCCACCAGTGGTCCCAGTGGCAGTGTTCGCATGCGTTTCCCCCACCCAGTACAGCGCTTCGTGGCCCCATAGAAGCTCCACCGAAAGACTCATTGGCGGTATTCGCATGCGTCCCCCCCACTCAGTACAGCTCTTCGTGACCCCGTAGGGAGCTCCACCCAAGGCCCCAATGGCAAAGTTCGCCGCGTGCGTCTCCCCCACTTAGTACAGCGCTTTGTGGCCCCATAGGGAGCTCCACCGAAGTCCCCAGTGGCGGTGTTCCCACGCGTCTACCACACGGTGTTCGCATGCGTCTCTCTCCCACTTAGCACAGCGTTCCGTGGCCTCATAGGGAGCTTCACCGAAGGCCCCAGCGGCGGTGTCCGCATCGGTCTCCCGCACTCAGTACATACAGCGCTTCGTGGCCCCATAGGGAGCTCCACCCGAGGCCCCACTGGCAAAGTTCGCATTTGTCTCCCACACTCAGTACAGCGCTTCGCGGCCCATACCGCTGCTGGCGTTAAAAGACGCCAGCCACAGACGTTGCTTCGACGGTGCCGCCCCTGGACCCCCTCATTTCAGTGTTGCGTTCGCGGCCGTTGTCGGGGTGCAAGCATCGGCATACAGAAAACGCCCAAAATTCCACCGCCAAGGTATACCCGTCTTCAGCATTGAAATTGGGGGGCAGGGGAGTTCTGGACACAGCAGCGTTGTCCATTATGCTTGGCGGGCATGTTTTGCCCCAACGGCCGTACCCCCTTCACGTTGTCAGTTGGGGCATGCGTCCCCGTATGATTCACACCACTGCGCTGTGCTCTAGCCAGGCCGATTGCAGAGTGGCAGTCGTAGCGTGAGCCCCTCTGTGCTCCACTTGTTCGTTACATCGGTCGGCTGCTTGGTTGGCTACCTCGTTGGTTGCCTCGCTGGCTGCCTCACCGGCTGCCCCGTTCGCTATCTCGTTGACTGCTTCGTTGACCGCCTTTTTGAAGTCCTCGCTGGCCACCTCGCTGGCTACATTGTTTTGTGCCCCGCTGGCTGCCTGTCAAAAGCAACCGCCAAGGCATGGGAGCACCACAGGACGCATGAGCACCGCTAGAAGGAGCGAGGCTTGGAGGGAGGGGGAGGTTTGAAGGGAATGGAGGGTTGGCGGAAAGGTTCCAGGGCAGTAGGGAGGGCTGGAGGAAGGATTGCAGGGAAGGTTGGAGGGAGGGTTGGAGGGAAGATTGGATGGAGGGCTTGAGAGTAGGAAGGAGGAATTGGACGGAGCGTTTGAGGTAGAGTTAGAGTGGTGGGTGCAGGGAGGGTTGGAGGGAAGGGTGGTGGAGAGAAGTTTGAAGGGAGGGTAGGAAGGGTGGGGAGGGTTCGACGCCTGAGAGCACCACGAGACGCATGAGCACCGCTGCAGTGCGGGAGGGATGGCGGGAGGGCTGGAGGGAGAGCTGGAGGGAGGGCTGGATGAAGGTTTGGAGGGAAGGTTGTAGGCAGTGCAGGACGGAGTGCTCGAGTGAGGGCTAGATAATTGGAGGGAGGGCTTGGAGGGAAAGTTCGTGGTCGTGGGGGAGTTACAGGGGGGGGGGGGGGGGGGGGGAAGACGGTCGGAGGGAGGATTCGATGCGGCTGACCAGCGGTCAGCCTTATCGTGGCCGCGTCGGTCGCGTTAGAGCAGCTGGCCGCTCTGCGCGGGAGCCCGCGCGCGCTGGCGCGACCGAAGCGACGCGCCGGCCAGCGCCAGGCCCTCATCGCAACCGCCGCCGCATGGATTCTGCAAGCCACGTCGCGGGTGGGTGCGTGGGATGATTGCTCGAGCAGTGGAACTGACAGGTCACTGCGGCAAACAGTAGTTACATCACACACACACACATCGCACCCCATAGATTCGACAACGTCGACTGCGCAACATAGATATAGTCAACATACATTGCACCACGTAGGTTGCACGGCATGGATGGCGCAAACAGATGGCACCACATAGTTTGCACCGCGTATGTTGCACAACACTGGTCGCACCATGTATACATATAGCTTACATCTGTATACATATTGCGCTGCGTCGATTGCGCCGCGTCGATTGGCACAACATACATTGCACCACATAGATCATACAACATAGAGTGCACACACAAACACACACTGCGCCACATACATTGCACAACATAGATTGCACGACGTCGGTTGCACAACCTATGTTGCACAACGCGTGTTGCACACATTGATTGCATCACGTAGATGTTACCACATAGTTTGCACAAGCTACGTTGCGCAACATATATTGCACCATGCCGACTGCACCACATAGATCGCGCACCACACAGATTGCACAATTCAGTTTGCACAACACACGGTGCATCACATAGATTGCATGACATAGGTTGCACAGCATGTTTTGTACAGCGGAGGTTGTTAGAAACACATTGTTTGGGGCTTGCGCTGGCTAACATCTGATGCCGCCATTTGCAACGTGCACCTGCGCCGGTTCTAAGGATGAAGGCGGTCCATTCTTAGAACGTCGCTCTCGCATCACCGCCGCGCACAGTCGCCTTAAACGCTTGCAGCAGCTAAAGCATGGAGGGCGGCCCGTTATCCGCATGCAGCTCTTCGGCTGGAGCCTCGCACATTCGCCCGTGAAGCCTGCAACATTTTCAAGGACTCGTAGGGTGGAAGTCCCCGAGAAAAAAAAGGTATCCTGGCACGTTCAGGTCTTTCGGGGCAAAGCAGTCACGGTGATTCGCGGTGTCGAAGTGCCTGGGATGGCGTCCTGGCACGACGATTCTAGGCTTGTCAGGACGCAGCTGTCACGTTGATTCGTGGCGTCGAAGTGCCAGGAACCTTGTTCTGGTACGATTGAGAGTTCTCAAACGTTTGTTTTCCAATGGGGCAGTGCCCGCAACGGAAAGACGTTCTCGCAAGGACGTGTGAAGAGGAAGTGTGGAGGGAGAGTGTCTTGCAACATCGTTGGTGCGTCTTGGATTTACACTGGTCCCTTCTCCCTCCTCTTTATCATGGTCCTGCTCGTTCCTCCCTCCTCCGTCGCACGCCCCCTTACTTCCTTCTCCTCCGACTTCCTCGCCTCTAATTATGCCTCCCTTCTGCTCTGCGTCGTCCTTTCTGCGTCTAAGGAGAGCCCTCCAGGATCCGTCAGCAACCCCTGGATCCACTTGGAGACTTCGGATATCTCCGAACACCTGATACAAGGTCTGATTGTTTAGAAGGTGGGCCCAGTGCGACCCCAATGTGGAAAACAGGTTCCAGAGCAAGCAGGAATAAGCAAAGAAGCGAGCACGCAAGTAAGTAAATCAAAGCACGCAGCGTCGTACTTAGCCAAGAACGCGCGTGCACAACACATCGTGGTAGTATGACGGCCTGGTAACATGATGGCTACGATTGTTGTGGGCGGTGCACGCGAGGTAACACGCGAAACGTTCCCACCAGTTCGCAAGCGAATAAGGAAGTACATAAGGCCAAATAATATTGTAATCAATACCAAGGAACCAAGAAATCGAGATCAAGCATCCAGGGCCGAGGAACCAAGACACCAAGACCGAGGAACAGGAGCCAAGACCAAGGAATCCAGGACCCAGGGCCGAGGAACCAACGAGCCAAGGCCAAGAAACCACGACCCATGAGCCAATGAGTTGGGACCAAGGGGCCGAGGAAATAAGGAACCACCAACAAAGACAACAGAGGAGCCGAGGAACCAACACAAAGAGCCCAAGGAACCCAAACCACGGATCCAAGTTCAAGGAACCAAGAAAAAACGACCAAGAAACCAAGACCGAGGTACTGAAGAATCAAGGAACCAAGACCGAGTCACAGGAACGCACAGATCAATGAACCAAGACCAGGGAACCAAGATCAGGGATCCAAGACTGAGGAACCACGAACCCAAGACCGAGGAACATAACCAGTACCAAGTAACCGAGGTATCAAGACCAAGGAACCAAGGAGCCAGCCCCAAGGAACCAAGGAGCCAAGACACCGAGGATCCAAGGAGTCGAGGAATCAAGGGTCAGAGGTCAAGGAACCAGGCACACTCAGACCAAGGAGCCTGCGAACCAAGACCAATAATCCATAACGAAGACCAAGGAACGCAGGAACCAAGGCCAAGGAACCGACGGGCCAAGACAGAGGAACCAACGATCCAATTCCGAGGAACCAACGGGCGAATTCCAAGAACCCAAGACATCAAGATGAAGGGACCGAGAACACAGACCAAGGAAACGCGGAACCAATACCAAGGCACAACATACGGAACCAAGGAACCACGGCCCAGGAACCATGGGGTACCCGGGCAACGCCATGTAGTGAAACAAAACCAAGGAACCCCGGGGAACCTCTTTAGCAAGGAAGCAAGTCCAAGGAACCCTGCGAAGCCTGGCGACGACCGCGTCCGGAACCCAACGTTTTCTTCACGAACGAGTGCATCGACCCTAGGGCAAAGCTTGATTCGGAAATACATGTTAGCCAGCGTTGATCCCAAACCGTGCGATCTTGCATTGTGGAGGTGAAACCTATGGGGTGTACGCTATAAGGTGATAGCTATGTCGTGCCAGCTATGTTGAGTGAGTTGTGAATGCGAAAACTTTGTGGTGTAAGCTACGTGGTGCAAGCTACGGCGTATAAGTTATGAGGTATGAGCTGGAGGTTCGAGCGGGGTGGTGGAAGCTATGTGTTGTAAGCTATGTAGTGGAAGCTCGTCCGTGTGCGCTATGGGGTGAAATCCATGCGGTGCAAGCTATGCAACAGAAGCTATGTGGTGTAAGCGATACTGCAGCGACATCTGTGTGGTGAAAACTGTGCGGTGTCAACTCTGCGGCGTAAACTTTGTGGTGCAGGCTTTGTGGTGCAGGCCTTGCGGTGTAAGCTGTGTGGAGTAAGTTCAGTCGTGTCAGCAATCAGGTGCAATTCGCGTGGTGGTGTGTGAACTTCGTGGTGTAAGCAATGTGTTGCGAGCTACGTGGTGCAGGCTATGTGGCGCAGGCTATGTGGCGCCCACAGAGCGCCCACGAGGCCTCACGGGCGGCGGCGTGGCGAAACCCCAACGCATCTCCCGAGCGCGGGGCGCCCCCGAGGCGCCCACGAGGCGGCACGGGCCCGCCTCGTGGCGCAGCTCCGTCGTGCCCGCGGGCACGCGGCGCCCACGAGGCGCCCACGAGGCGCGGCGCGGGGCCGCAGCGCGGCGAGGACCCCCCCCCCCTGCCCTGTCCAGTCCCCTGCGTAAGCGGAAGCCCTAAGGGCAAGAACTGTGGGGAGATGCTAAAACCTCCGTCTCGCCGTCGCTCGGGCGTCCATTCCCTGTGCTTTTTTTCGGTTTCGTGCCTGTTTTTTTTCGGCAAGTGATCAAAGATGCTCCTCGATGGTCCTCGCCGAGGAGAAAACGCACACGTCCGAGCGATGCCAGGCAGGTGGCCTTCCCATGGAGGAGGTCGCCGGGAGAGACCAGCTGCATCCCCATCCCCCAGCCAGAAGCCGTCGAGAACCCGTCCCCGGGCCCCTCCTGTGCACCATGCTGGTTGGGCCGTTCTCGAGTGGTATGCTGCGGTCTCAGCACCCTGGCGCCACCCCTTGCGGCGCCCCTTGGGCACTCCGCGCCCCAGGGACTGGGTGTTGAGGCCACCCTGGACTACCTGGGGGGCTTGCTCAGGCCAGCCAGGAGTTCCTGGGCCGTCTTCTCGCTGCCCGAAGCCTCACCAACAGGGCACCGGGGGAGGGACCAACTTCCTCGTGATCCTCGACTGCGTCGGGGGCATGCTGTTTTTCACCCTGGCCACCGAGCAGCTCCGCTGGCGCAGGGAGAACGCCGAGGCCCTGGACCGGGTCGAGCGCGTGAAGGAGAAGTTGAGGCTAGAGGACATCGGAGGGGGGGGGGGGGGGGGGGCGCCCCTCGAGGGGCCGCAGGCCAGTGAGAGGCAGGGCGAGGCTTCGATGCCGATCTCGATTCCGAGCCGCAGGAGGGGGCGCCGATTTCGAGTCGGTCCGATGTGTGGGGTTCTCATGTCGGCCTCGGTCTGGTCTGACTCGCGCAGCTCAGACCTTGGTCGGCTCGCCTGGTCGCCGATCCGATCCAGGGTTTCCGATCCGAGGCCAGAGGTGTGAAGGATGCACACCTCCGACGCCTCGTTGTTTCTGTTGTGTTTGCCACGTGGGCCCCCAGAGCTCTCGACCCCCTTTCTCCTGGCCAGCTTTCCATCCCTTGACGGGCCCGGATGAACCAGTTATCGGCCTCCACCCATGAAGCCCTACAATAAATCAAAACATGAAATTCATACAATACATAAAAACACGATCGCCTCCCCGGCATATTCCCGGCACATCCCCGGCATGTCACGACAACATGAAATGTCTCCATGAAAAAACATGAAAACCCCGGCATATGTAAAACCACTGCTTCAACATTTTATTTACAAATCATGAAATACAAACATGGAATACATCCCGTGCATCTTATTGCTGGTCCGGGGGGGCTTGGAACGGTGCCCAGACGCCGAAAGCCAACACACGTCGGTCATTGAAAGTATGTATTTCTGGACTCCCGGATCCCAATCTACTTCGAGCGCCTTCCTATCTCAATAATCGATATGCTTTGTTGCGTTTGTTTATTATCTGGGAGTGCCTGGACACGGTCTTCTCTATCCGCCTTCCTACCTCATGCTTTTACCAATTTCTTCCGACCGGCGTATAAAGACATCGTGTGCGTTCTTTTCGTCGAGGCGCTGGGGCGCTGGGTCGCCGGATCCTGCCAAAAGGTCCTTACCACGTCTGGAAGCATATGCCTGTGATCATTCCTCCTTCGTCGTCGTCCTCCTCCTCGTCCTCCTCCTCCCTCGCCCCCTCTCGCAGCAGGACGTCCTGGTCTATCCTGCTTCCGCCGCCCATGGCTCCGCGAAAGCCGCCAGGAACGGCAATGCCACACTCTTTGTGCTGACCTTGATTCTGGCCTGGGTTTGGGACCGTGGCTCGCAAACAGAAAACCACGACAAAGCTGCCGCTGAATTTTGTCGATGCCGACCTTGGTCACGGTCCATGTCGGCCGTCGCCGAGTTGCGAGAATTTCTTTCGGATCGACGCTGACCAATATCGACGTTGACCAAGATGAACACGGCATTTCTGCGTTCGGTATTGGTCATCGTCCCTGTTTGTGTTTTCCTGTCCATCCTTGTGAGCGAGCCTTATACTGAGCTATGGGCTCCGTCGCCAACTTGGGCCATGAGCGGAGAGCCCCCTCGTAGCTTTGGTTTGATCACCCGCCGTCGGAGTAAAACACTGCTACATCGCAGCGCGACGGATGCAGTCCGCACGCACGCTCGGGCAAGCTGGGCAACGGCATTGCCAATTAACCGGCAGCAGGAGTGGAAAAAGGGGTGGGGAAACAGCCGCGGGAGAGGGGGGAAAGGCCAGAACGCTTACGTGGCGGGGCTCGCTGCGGAGCGGCCAGGGCGGCCGGCCGGTGCTGCACCCCTGGCAGCGGGCGCGGGGCGGCGTCGTGGCCACATCCAGGGGCCGGGGCAGCGGCGGCACGCACCACGGGCCAGGCGGCACAGGGTCATGGCCGATGGGAGGCGCACAAGGCCCGGGCAGGCGCCATGCGAGCCACGCAGCTTCCGGCGGCAGCATCACCCCAGCAGGCGGTGGGAGGCAGCTCGGATCCAGGCGCAGTTGGGACGCACCTGATCGGTGCAGAAACAGGCGAGTCAGTGGCAACACCGCGGAAGGGCGGCGCCGCGGGGGAGGGGAACGCACCACCTGGGGTGGATGGCGCGCCCCAGAAGAGAGAGGAGGGCACACCACCAGGGGTGGATGGCGCGACCTAAAAGGGGGAGGAGGAACAATTGATCGGTGCACAAACAGGTATTTGAGCTAGGGCGCTGCCGCGGGTTGCATGCGCCGCGGCGGAGGGGAGGCGCACCACCTGGGGTGGATGACGCGCTAAGGAAGAGACAGCGGTGGATGGCGCGCCCATAGAGCTTGCCAGGTACTAGAGTTTTTGACCGCGCTGCCCCAGATTGCGCCGTTCGGGAGGCGATCGGAGCGGACATACCACGGCGCGCCCATGCGGCGGTAGCCGAATCTGTCGCCTCACCAGGGCGACTGCGCAGCCCGCGACCCCCCTCCCCCCAGCGATGCAAAGCTGAGCAACGAAGCGACGCGACGACATCACCGATGAGGTCCATTGCCGTCGTCTCTTGTCGGTCTCCTCAGCTTTGCATCAGGGGGTGGGGGGTGGGGAGGCTGGCGCGGCACTTGTTTTCGCGACTCCCCAGATACGGTTAAGATTATAGTACCGAACGTCGTGTTTACGTAAGCACTAGATAGTTGCACAAACAGGTGGGTAAAAAGGCAAGGCGCTTCTTGGATGAAGGCGCCGAGCCGCACTTTCAGAATTCTGCATGGGAACCATCACCGACCAGGTCCGACCAGGGCAGAGGGCGCACGGTGTCCGTCCTGCCCAGTGGGCAAACCCAGTCTGCGGTTACAAGCCTTACATCCGGGACTGGTCGCTGGAGGGCCATGAGGCACCTCTGGGCCGTTTGCCGCCTTGCCCTTTTCCCACATGCGGCCTGGGCTTGCTGGTCTTGCTGCTGCTGCTGCTGCTGCAGGACGTCATGTTCGTCGATTTCTTGGCGACAACAGCGACATAATGCACGAATGTCGTAGTAGGACCCGGCCAGGTTCTCCACGAATTCGCGGCAGTCGAAGCCACTGGGTTTCGTGCCAACCTTTGCCCTAGCCTTTGCCGCCCCTCTGGTCGCAGGCTCTGTTCCATCCTTCTACGGGCAGCGCGCCGCAGGTGCCCTTGAGACGCTTGCTGGTCTCTGGCCAGGTCTCGTCTCGGCGCTCGCTTGGGACCCCCAGTGGGCTCCAATGGACATCGCGCCTGGGTATCTTGCACAGGCGGTCGCGCGGGTCATCCCAGTCCCTCCGCTGGGCAGTGTCGTGCCCCTGCCAGCGGACTTCCCAAGTGGGCCCGCTATGCACTGGCTGTCCCTATTCCAGGAGTTCCATCGTGCACCGCCTGCGCTGCCGTCGGCCCGCCTTGACTGGGGTTTTGTAGCGTCGCGGAGAAACAGGCAGCGTTGATTCCGCCAGTTTCTCGCTCCCATTCCGCTGGGGGTCCTGCCTGCTGGAGTTGTGTGGGGCATTGTGGCCCTGTTTGGCGTGTCAGATGGTCCCGTTTCTGTCGGTTTGGATCCTCGTTCGCTCGCGTGCCGCAGCCTGTCAGTCGGTCCCTCGTTCGTTGCTGCTTCTCTTCCTTGGCATCGCTCGGACGTGTGCATTTGTTTCGGCGAGGGTCATCAAGGAGCATCCTGGATCACCGGATGCCAGCAAAAGACACGCGCGAAGTCGAATAATGCACGGGGAATGGACGCCCGAACGATGGCGAGCTTCTGAGGGCGTCGAAGCTATGCATCGGCCCACCTCCAAATGAGGCGCCGCTTCCTCGGCGGAGTGTCGGCGGAAGGCGGCGGTAGAACGGGGGCGACTCCGCTGGCGGAGTGCCGGCGGAAGCAAAGTATGTTTCCCCGCGCATTCCCCCAACAATGCTTGCACTCAAGGTTCTCAATTGTGTTGCGTAAGTAATTCTTCATTCACGCTTCGCGTATCCCCACCAGTTGGGCCGGTCACCTGCCGACGCTGTCCTGCGTCTCAATGAGGGGCATTTTGTCCCTGGCATGTGTATACGCCACTGCGGCCAATTTACACCGTACCGCGCCCCGGACGTTGTGCCCGCTCCCTGTCCGTCGCCTTGGAGCCGCGAACCAAAAAAGTATCCCCACCAGCCCGCTGGGCCGCTGCGTGAGGCCTCGGCTTGCCGCGTTAGTTGTAGCCCTTTCGCGCCGCCTCTGCCGAATTAGTTTCTGCGTAGCCCGCTTTGACCTGACTCGCCGCTGGCGCGCTGGCCCGCGGCCGCTGACTAAAAAGTATCCCCACCAGCTCATCCCAAAACCCTGCCCATGAGAGTTGACGCGAAACGGGATGAAGAGACACATGTAGTGAAACAAAGCGGGCAAGCAGGATGAACCGAGAGATCTCTGGGAGCAACGGGGTAGCCATGGAGGACCTCCCCGGGCCATACCGGGGGGGCCTTCGTGGGGGCGAGGGAGGATGAGGATGATGAGGAGGAGGAGGAAGACGACGACGACAACGATGACGAGGAGGAGGAGGAGGAGGAAGAGGATGAAAAGGAACTGGAAGACGAGAAGGACGAGGACGAGGAGGAGGAGGAGGAGGAGGAGGAGGAGGAGGAGGACAACAACAAGGACGATGACAGAGCCTTCGACCAATTGCTTCTTGGAGCCTTCTTGCGACTCTTTTAGGGGGACCCTTGGGTCCTCTCGGGGCTCTGTTGGGGGGGTCTTGAGGCCCTCTTGGAGCCGCCCTGGGAGCACCCTGGGAGGCCTGGAGGGCCTCTTGCGGCCATCGCTGAGGCCATGGATCAAAAAGAGGGGGGGTCCTAAATGTCCGTCCCCCCCCCAGGGGGCATCGGAATCGGCTCTCCGGGCCCTCTGGGGGGCACTCCTGGGCGCTCTTGGGGGCTGCCTGGGGGGCCCCTTGGGCCCACCTTCGGCCTCCGGTGGGGCCCTTTGGGGCCCCTCCTTGGGTCTCAAAGAGTATCGGAAACGAAAAAGTGAGCAGGCATGGATCGTTTGTTGTCCTTGGGTGTTTGAAAGATGTTTGCCTCTTCGGGGGGTCCTCAGGGGGCTCCGAGAGCACTTGGAACGGTCTTGTGGCCCTCGTTGGGCCTCTTGGAGGTATGTCGTCAGCCATCTGGAACCATCGTCGGCTATCTTGAGCCTCCTTGGAGGCCATCTTGGAGCATGAGAGGCCCTCTTGGAGCCATCGTGGGCCATCGTGGGCGCCCTGAGCCTCCGCGGCCCGCCCCCCCCAAAAAACTTCAGGGAGGGGAGGGGGAGGGTACCCCTCCCCGCAGGATCGAGGATTTCAGTGAGAGGAAAGGGAGGGGACTCGTTAGACCACCTTCGCCCGAATGGCTGGTGGGATCCGACCCGTTTCCCCGGCTTTCGCCGCGCCGTCGCCCGTGCCCTTCTCGGGAGCGCCTCGCGGCCGCCTCGTGCGCCCGGCAGGCTTGCCGAGGGTTCTCCTCGTGGGCGCCTCGCGGGCGGCCCCCCACCCCGTGCGCGGGGTGGGTGTCGTGAGGACTCCTGGCCACGCGCAGAAGGGGCTAGGGGAGGGGGGAAGGCTTCTTAGAAGCACCGCTGCTTCTTAGAAGGCGCTGGCCTTCTTTGTAGATGTAAGGCCGGCGCCTTCTAAGAAGCAGCCTCCTTCTAAGAAGCCTTCCCCCCTCCCCCTACCCCCTCGTGCGCGCCGCCAAGACTCGCCGCGCGGGCGCCCGTGCCGGCTCGTGGGGGCCTCGTGGGTGCTGCGTGTGCGGGCGGCTCGGTCTCCCGAGGAGGCGCGCCGCGGGGGCCCCGTGCTCGCCCGGCGCGCTCACGCAGCACGGCTCACACAACCTCCTCCTCCTCCTCCTCCTCCTCCTCCTCCTCCTCCTCCTCCTCCTCGTCCTCCTACGGTTTGCACCACACGGCTCGCAGCCCACAGCTCGCACACATCACAGCCCACGCCACGTGACTTGTGCAGCATAGCTCACATCGCATACGTTTGCATACACATGCATTCGAGTACTTCGCGCTCGCCACAGTGCGCACACCGCACAGATTGCACAACCTAGCCTGCACCATATGTATATGTGTGTGTACTTATGTATATATATAGAGGTGTATTCATATGTTCATGTATGGGCTGCGCCGTGACAGACGTTCGTGACGTTTTTTGAGTGCGTCACGGTGATATGGGTTTCGCCTGCTACTTCCACGCAAGCGGGCGGGCGGGGGCTGGCCCGTGTTCCACCGGGATGACCCTTTCATTTCCCTCCTACAATCTTGGCGGGTTGTGCCAAGTACATTCGGATCAATGATCCGGGATCTCTGAGTCCTGGATTTCATCATGCTATATGATACTATGTGTTCAGAACGGCGTATGTTGAAAACTCAGCGTGAAAACACATGGTTTTCGAAATCTCCCCAGACGGGATGCTTTCCCTGCCAATGCAAGGTGATAGTATTCCACGTCGTCCGGAAACTTTCGCAATGCCGCTGAGGGTTTCACGGCGACGCATCATCGTCATCGTACCTGCCACCGCACCCAACACCGCGCATCACCCGCCATGGTCGCACTCGTGCCCGCACATCGACTCCTACTTCGCCTGCCGCGCCAGATAGACAAGTCTTCGTCTACTAGGGAGGAACTTATGTTCGCTGCGCGGTGCCCGCAGTGCCGCGAGGCATCCACGATGGCGGCGCATCCATCATCGTTTCCTGCCATCGCACTCAACGTCGTGCATCACCCGCCATGGTTGCATTCATGCCAGAGCATCGACACCCTACTTCGCCTGCCGCCCCGCAAAAAACGAGGCTCGGCCTGCCACGCCAGATTAAGGAAGGCTCGATGTTCGCCGCACTGGGCCTGCGATACTGCTGACGGGTTCACGACGGCGACGCATCATCATCATCGTTCCTTGCCATCGCACTCAACGCCGCACATCGCCCGCCATGGCCGCACTGGTGCAGGCGCATCGACCCCCCTACTTCGCCGGCCGTGCCGAATAAGCAAGGCTTCGCCTGCCACGCCGGATGAAGAAAGAATTGGTGTCTGTCCCGCGGTGTCTGCAACGCCGCGAGGTGTCCACGGCGACGACTCATCATCATCGTCGTTCCTTGTCATCGCACCCACCGCCGCGCATCATCCGCAATGGTCGCGCTCGTGCCCGCGCATCGTCCCCCAACCTCGCCTGCTGCGCCGGATAAATAAGATTTCGCTTGTTACGCCAGATGAAGGAGGATTGGATGTTTGCGTGCGGTGTCTGCAATGCCGCTGAGGGATCCATGATGGCGGCGCTTCGTTGTCATCGTCTTTCGCATCGTACTCAACGCCGCGCATCTCCAGCCATGGTCGCACTCATGCCCGCACATGAACCTCCTACTTCGCCTGCCGCGCCAGATAGCCAAGTCTTCGTCTACCGCGCCGGGTTATGAAAGGGCTCGGCGTTCGCTGCGCGGTGCCTGCAATGCCGCGAGGGACCCACGATGGCGAGGCCTCAGAATCGTTCCCTGTCATCGCAGGCAGCGCCGCGCTTCATCCGCCACGGTCGCACTCGCGCCCGCGCATCGGCCCCCTTCTTCACATTCCGCAGCGGATAGACAAGGTGTCGCCTGCCACGCCGCAGAAAGAAGGGCTCGCTGTTCGCCGCGTATTGCATGAAATGCCGCAAGCGGCCCACCATGGCGACGCATCACCATCATCGTTCCTATCAGTCGCACCAGAAGCAGCGGATTATCCGCCAGGGTCGCGCGTCGCGCCTGCACATCGACCCCCTGCCTACTTCGACTGCTGCGCCAGATGAACAAGGCTCCGCTTGCCACGCTGGATTATGAAGGACTGGGTGTACTCCGGGCGTTGGTGCAATCCGCGTGGTGCTTCAATGCCGCTGAGGGACCCACGATGGCGACGCATCATTATCGATCCCTGTTATCGCAATCGGCGCCGCGCATCATCCGCCTTGGTCGCACTCGTGCCCGCGCATCGACCCCTTACTTCGCCTGTCGCGCCAGCTAAACAAGACTTCGCCTGCCACGCCAGCTGAAGAAAGGGCTCGGGGTTCGTTGCGCGGTGCTTGAAACATATCTACGCCGTGACAGAAGTTCGTGACGTTTGATGAGTGCGCCACGATGATATGAGTTCCGTCCGTCACTTCCACGCAAGCGGGCGGGCGGGGGCCGCTTCTTAGCGGGCGGTGCCAAGAGCCGCCGGATCACAAATCCGGGGTTTTCTGACTCCAGGATCTCATCGTATGACGTGATGTAAGATGTTAAAGTGGATATGTTGAAATCTTTGCGTGGAATCACCTGGTTTTGGACATCCCCTCGGGCAGGACGTTGCCCCTGCCAACACAGTATAGAAGCATGCCACTTCGCCGCACACTTTGTAGGAACGCCGATGTATGCCAACATACCAAGCCACGTAGCTTACGCAACATGACTTCCACCACATAGTTTGCACGTCATACCCTGCACCCCAAAGCTCTCGCAACCTGCAAAACGTCGGGGCTCTTTGACCGCCTCAATGGCTTTGCAAACCGCGAAGTTTGTTTTAGTTTTCGTATCGTTACACTTCATATGGCAAGGTGTGCCAGCTCAGACGATGGCGCAGAATTTGCGGGATAATGAAATACGTAGCTTGTTCCGCCGAGCTTAACCGCAAGCGTTCTACAACTGATTTTCGTACACAGTTTGCATCACATAGCTTGCACAGCGTAACTCCCACCTCCACAGTGCACCCACTCATTGTTTTGGGCCCATGCTGGCCGTCATTTGTGGATTCAGGGTTCCCACAAGACGTTCCAACGAAGCTCAAGGCCTGGGGAAAGGGGGTTCGGCACATCCACTGCCAGCAGGAGGCGCGGGGCGGCATCCTGAACGCGGTCGGGGGCTGGATGTTCTCGACCTACGAGCAGCTGGAGGATCAGGCGGGCCGACGGGGGGAGAGCGCCGCACATCAAGGAAAACACCACGGCATACATGGATTGTCGGACATGCGCGCGGCTCTGCCGCCCCTGACGCGGCCCACGCGCCGGGGAAGGGGGTCCACTGGCGGTCCGAGAAATGCGGTCAGACCTCCGATAGTTTATGTTAGGGTTGCTATTCTTCTTCGGCGGACGGAAGGTATTCTGCCCCTCCCCCCCCCTGCAGGGAAGCCCTGCCAGAACGGGGAGGGCATCATAATATCATACCATTTACAGGCTTCGTTCCACTGTGCAGCCATCCTCCCCTTCCATGCTGCTTCCTCCTTGCCTTCGTCGGCCCTTCCATGACAATGTATGATCGTCGTGGGACCGTCCTGTGCTTCCGTTTTCTTGCAACCTCCGTGCCCCGGTGGCCCCGCTAACCTCGTAACATCTTCATTTGGGGAACACCAGTAGCACAATTCTTCCACGTCAGACGGAGGAGGGGGATGAGCAGGCAGGCGATCAAGAACCGCAGGGCCCGGCAGCGCACTGCGCATTGGGCTTCGCCATCGGGGGGCCGAGAGGCTGACGTCCCTTCCGCGGCGACGCGCAGCCGCAGGCCGACGGAAGCCAGCGCAAGCAGAGCGAGGGTGGCTCCGCCAGCGGAAGCTGGCGGGCTGGCGGAATCTGGCGAAAGGGAAGTAATCGACCAAAAAGCAAACACCGCCGCCCGACCTACGGCCCGCCATGTTGCACTACCGCCCAGCGGGGGCCGTAGCGTATACCACGCAGAATCCCAAGCTGGAATTCATGGTATGTGCCAAAGCCTGTGGGGCCGTAGGTGGGGTGGTGTCGTTTGTTTCTCGGTCCAGTAAAGTGCCCAAGAGATGGCAAGTCCAGGGGGCTTCCAAACGGAACGTGGCCGGATCTGGGTGGCTTCAGTGGGCAGCCTCGTCGTGGGTCATTCCTGCAGGCAGGGCGCGCACAGTCCTAATCCCCGGTAGCCTCTCGGGGGCCAGTGGCGCTGCACTTCCGCAGGGAGGAGGAGGAGGAGGAGGAGAAGAATAATAATAATAGCAAGACATGTGATAATTGCGAGCACCGAGGGCCGATGCGTGCTTGCCGCTGCAGATAATGTTTCTGCCGCCCTGTCCAGCGGCTGGGACCAGCTTCGTGGCAGTCTGTGTCGCGAGATCTGGCCTCGAAGTGGCTGCGGCAGCTGTCTTGAGTTCTGCTCTTCGCTCGGTTGGGACGCTGCTCGCGCACGCGGAGGGCTGCACACTCCAGCGGCGCCGCAGGACTCGAGCTTCCTAGTGGGTTCCTCGCCGTGTTTGGCTCCGCCCCGCACGGCTTTCCACTCGAGGCCCTGCCTTTGCTCTGGGCCACCGCGGCTCGCCCCTGCACGTCTCCTCTTGCGCCTCCTCGGTGCCTCGTTGGGAGCCGCGCGTCTGCGCACCGAGGTAAGCGGGCCTTCGCCTGACACATCCTGCAAATCGTTGTGTTATCTGCCTCACGCTCGCAGGCCTCCTCAGGTTGCGACAATAGAATCACGGTAGCAAGTTCCTCCCAAACCCGTGGTTTGATGCGTCATCCAGGAGCTGATCTTGCCAGAGGACAGCCGAGGACGAGGCATACGGCCTCTGAGTTCTGCCAGATGCCCGTGGAGGCATGACCACAGCGCTATTGTTGGATCAGCGTCCCCCGGGGGCAAGGAGGTTCGCCTGGCGGGCCGTGATGATCGATTCTGTGTAGGAGTGACCCTTCGCTGGAGTGGCCTTTGGTGCGGGCCTGTTGGGGGTCCCCGATCGCAGAACGGAATGCAATGGCAGCGGCTTGCGCGCTTGGGTATGGTTCCCCCGCGCCCCCGAAAGTTGCGCACCAAAGGTCATTCTTATCTAGGGACAGTCTTGCGTGTAGCCGAGCTGACCCCGGGAATGCACTTCGGGCTTCGGGCTTGTCAGTTTGACGGCCAAGACCTCGCTCCTCACTGACCCGTTCGCGGGAGTGGTTCGGCAGCCTCGCCCGATCGTGTCGCGGGCACAGAAGAACGAGCACGTCACGCAGGCCGTTGCCGCGGTCGAGGTTGGGAGCGTCCATGCCCCGCCCCTCTGCGCCGTGGCGGCGCTCCAGCTCGTCTGCGGGCATCATCGGTTACTCGTCGCCGTGGCTGTACTTCTTGCGTCCTCCAGAGCGTTTGAGTGGGCCTTGCGCAGCATGCTTTCATGCACGTGGCCCTCCAGCTCGGGGCGATCAGTCACCTTCATGTTCGAGGCCATCGCAGAAGTGATGGATATGCTCACTGCGTTGGCTGCGACGCGTTCGTAGCCTCGTGCGAGGCCATCCGAGACGCTCGACTGGACGATCAAGGTCAAGCCTCTCGGGCGCTGGCTGGCCTTCCTCGTTGCGCGGGGAGGGCCAGGGGCGTTTGCTTGGGGGTGCCCGAATTCTTTCGACGAGACCTAAGATTTGCCGGAGTGGCCACTGGGCCCCCCGATCGCCGAACGCGAGGCGGCAGCAGCGTCTTGCGCGCCTGTGTGTGGATCCCGCCGCGGCCCCAGAAAAGCCACCAACCAAAGGTCACGCTTGCCCAGGGTCACCCTTTCGTGTAGCCGATTCCCTCGCGCTGGAGGCTGTCGCCAGTCCCACGGCGGCCCCCTCCGCTCCCAGGTGGGAGCCATCGGCGCTCGCGCCTGCCCGGCTGTCGCCTGCCGAGCGCCTCCGGAGGGCCCTGCCGCTGCCTGGAGCTGCGCAGGGGCCGCCCGCGGCAGGAAGCCCAGATCGCGCAGGCGTTGCACGAGCCGGATGCGTTCGAAACCGCGTTCTGGAGGGCAGAGATGCGACTGGGGGGAGGGTGCCCCGACCTCTTCGGGAAGGGGTCTCGCCAGGGCCGCCAGGGCCACCCCAAGAGAGACGGCGCCACGAGCGGGGCTTTGCCCCAGGAGCCCAAGCGAGGGGATCCCACCGAAGCGTCGGCGACACTGGGGAAAAGGTGCTGGCCGGACTTGCAAGAGGGCTCGAGTGCAATGAACCCAACGGGATCTCCTGGAGCAGCTGCAGCAGGACAGAGTGATCCCAGACAACGAGTGTAACACAACGATGCTGGAGGGGTGCCAGCAGCGCCTCGCAGGGGGGGTCCTCGACTCGCCGAAATCTGCATCCGCGGCGGCACCAGTGAAGCTTGAGTCCAGGCGTACCTGCTCGTCGGCCGCCTTGGAGAAGCAGGAGGCCAGCAGCATGTACAGCGCGGTCGACACCGTGCGCGTCGCGGACACGGAGCAGGGGGCTGCAGAACGAGGCCCACGCCGAGCGCCTCGCCTGCAAAGGCCATCGCCGACGAGGTGTGAATGGCCGATGGGCGGAAGCAGGACAACGCCGCGAACGCCTCGAAGCAGAACAAAACTGCATCAACATGACGTTTCGGGGGCACGCGCGGATGTGTTGGATCGCCGCGGGCTCCCCGCCTCCCCTCGGAGGGCGCCGCGGGCGCCTACCACAGCCCAGAAGTCCGCGCGGAGCTCCGAGGGTTTCTGCACATGCTTTTTCTGCCGCTCCTACCGGGCCTGGACGCGAGCCCGGCCGGTTGGGATACGGTGGGGAACTGCTGGATCGTGTGTCGCTCCGCCGAGTTTGGCCCACCGCTTACGCTGCGCCTTCGGGGCCGCCTCTCCTGGCAGCTTCTCTCGTGCCCGACGCGGGCTCGATGCGGACTAGACTTGGACTCGGCGCGGATCCGGCGCGGATCCGACACGGATTCGGCGCGGATGCGCCGAGTCCGACGCGGATTCGACGCGGACAGGGCCGCGACGGGACAGGCAAGGCCCCCGACTGTGCAGCATACGGTTGCCTGGGGTATGATTAAGTCGGGCCTGCCCCCCTACAGGGGGATTTTCGACGAAAAATAAAACATACCCCCAAGATAAGCAAAAAATGGTCCAAAAATAGTCGGGGGACTATTTTTTTATTATTTTTTGACCTTTTGGGAGTATTTTTGGGGGTATTTTTTATTTTTCGTCGAACATCCCCCCTGTAGGCGGACACGCCCGACATCAGGGTAGGATCGAGGCGCCCTGGCCATCGACCTCCAGCTCACGAGAGCGCGGGGGTCGGCCTGCAGAGCTCCGGGAGGACCTGCCGCGGGCTCCCCGCAGGCAGGGCGGCCGAGCCGCCGGCCAGCGGCGCGCGCTCGCGCGGCGCGCTCGCGCGGCCTGGACGTCTGGCGCCTCGCATTTTGACTTCGCAGTTTTGACTTCGCAGTTTTGACTTCGCAGTTTTGGCTTCGCATTTGGACTGCGCAGGTTTTGCTTCGTCGGCGGCTCGCATTGTGACGTCGCAGTTCCGAATCGAGGCCGAGGTCTCCCTCAGCTTTCGGCCTCTCGGGGCCCTCACCGGGCCTCGGGGCCGTCAAGAGACGACTCGGGACGAGCAGCCGCTTCCGGGGAAGTGGTCGAGAGATCGGGGGCTTGTGTTTCGAAAAAACGGGTGCGGATGCTTGGGAACCTGCCCAGCCCCCTCGCCCCCAGCGGGGCAGCGAAGCCGGAGGTCGCCATCCGCTTCCTCGCGGTGGAGGCCGCGAGCGAGGCCAACAGCGGCCATCAGACATGCTCGCATCGCGAAAAGAAGACGACGCGCTGTTCCTGGCTGGATTCGACTTCTGGGGGCCCTCGCCGGGCCCCAGGGCCATCAAACAGCAACTCGGGATGCGAACCCGGCCCTGCATGGGAAAAGGGTTGGGATTTCTGGGGATCGCGTCGCATGTCTGAGAGGCCATCGGCCGCCTACAACCCTCGACAACGTTCACTTCAGAAGTGGTTGACGCGC